TAAAAGTTATCACATGAGCAGTCTTAAATGTATCATGATGTGGAATTCAAAAGTAGCTTACAAAAAAATCTTCTTTCGCTTCTTGGGCACATAAACGCCAGTTGAAATAACGAACATTGCTATTTTATAAAATGTCATTAAATATTTTTGTGATTTTGATTAGATCTATTACCGTGATAAGTCATACCTAATTTCGCCAATGAACCCATTATGAGAATCAATGTAAGAACGTCCGATATAAAGTGGTCCATCATTGAAGACAACCCTTTCCGTTTTAACGTTCTGGATACTATAGAATCCGACCCATTCGCCATCAATGTAGATATCTAACCTTTTTTCAAAATCTGATAGAGTATAAGCAATATGATACCATTTATCCAACAAAAGTCCGTCTCCGAGCTGATTAATTCCTAAATCTTTATTCAATTTTCCTGTAAAACGAGGATGCAACAAGAATTTGTCTGGTACCAACTGGAGCATAGGCGTACGAATGAATTGTTTGGTTCCTATATATGTATTATTTTGTTTTATTAAAACCATAGAAGAAAAATTCTAAGAAAAATATTTATTCTACCTTTGTGAAAAATAACAGCATGATGGGAAGAGTAACTCTGAAGTTTTAGTCGTAATGTCACAGAAAGTTCATCTTTCACCACGGGTAAGTTTTCATGTTCAAAGACTCGTTGAGATTGTTCATTTAAGATTATAGGGTCTGATATGAGCTCTGCCCACTCTTTCCTCATTTTTTAGGAAACAAATTTATTACGTCAGATCATGCAATACAATTACTAATGCTTACATTTAAGTGGTAAGATCATCACAAGGAAAATCTTATCTGAATTCGGAGGTTTTTTTTCACCACTTTGCAGAAATGCGGATATCGTTTCAAAAATCAAAATCGAAAATCGGATCAAGGATGAACTCCGGACCTTACAAAAAAAAGGCAAAAAATTTAGTACTCAGATCAAAGATTCAAAATTTCTTTTTTAAAAATAATAATAAAAGAATAAATAATAAGTCGATATTCTATACTGTTTAGTAAAAACAAAAGTTTTTTTTTCTTTGACATTACAAGTATTTACAGTAATCCAATTTTTATAAATCACGCGAAGAATAAAAACGTACTATAATATTATTTGATCATCGACAACGGCAACGACATATTTCATATCGAATGAAATTATTACAATAGCTCATTTCCGTCACGTGGATTATTGTTTTTACATATTCTGATTGATCGAACTTGTATAAACTTTTGCATATGCATGGTATGACACCTGTTTTATTTCAAATTTTACCATTTATGTCGTTTAAATCACAAACATTTTTAAAAATCATGAAAAACTTTATTTATTATATATATATCAACACAGTTTTTTATTTATTAAATGAGAACAATAATACAACTCATATGACAAGACTAACGAGCAAAATATAATAAATAAATATAGGATAACTTACTTGATCGATTCGGCCCGGCCAAGGATCCAAGGAATGGGGGGTATCC